AAAAATCCAAAGTAATGTAAACCAAGTTTAGATATCTATCGACTTTCTTGCGGAGTTTGACGTAGACCCACCCCTAAGTCGGTTTATATAATCCTTACAAAACTGTCTCCCTCCTTTACAATATCTCTTGAGATGCACAAACCAACAAATTTTCTATCTTATTTTCCTAATTTTTCGAAATAGATTTTATTCCAAACAGAGAAGAAGATATTTCTCACGAATTATAAAACAATAGTTAATGCTTTTTGTTACACGTAGATTGACCAGGAAAACAAAATTAATCTGGCCACACACGTATGTATTATATATATATAAACGACTAGAGGAAGGAGAAGAAAGCAAAATGGAGATATGGTGGTTAGTGATGTTGGGCTCTGTCTCGGTGGCTCTCCTTATCCATCTCCTTGTTCGCCGCCGTAACTCCTCCTCCTCCCTTCCGCTACCTCCTGACCCAAACTTCTTCCCTTTCATCGGAACCCTCCATTGGCTCCGGCAAGGCTTAGGTGGCCTCAGCTCCTATCTCCAATCCGTCCACCACCGTCTCGGCCCCATCGTCACTCTCCGCATCACTTCCCGCCCCGCCATCTTCGTCGCCGATCGTTCCCTTGCTCACCAAGCTCTCGTCTTGAACGGTGCTGTCTTCGCCGACCGTCCACCGGCGGCTCCGATCAGCAAAATCATCTCCAGCAATCAACACAACATCAGCTCTGGGTCTTACGGAGCCACGTGGCGGCTTCTCCGCCGTAACCTGACCTCTGAGATGCTCCATCCTTCCCGTGTGAGATCTTATTCCCATGCTCGCCGCTGGGTTCTCGAGATCCTATTCGATCGATTCCGTAAGCACGGAGGCGAAGAGCCCATCGTCCTTGTGGATCATCTCCATTACGCCATGTTCGCGCTCCTCGTCCTCATGTGTTTCGGGGACAAGCTCGACGAGAAGCAAATCAAACAGGTGGAATTTGTACAGAGACGACAGCTCCTCAGCTTTGGCCGATTCAACATCCTTAACCTCTGGCCTAAGCTCACCAAATTGATTATGCGGAAGCGATGGGAAGAGTTTTTTCAGATCCGGAGAGAGCAGCATGAGGTGTTGCTTCCGCTGATACGTGCCCGGAAGAAGAAATTGGGG